CAGCGCAGTACACAGCACGCCGGCAACGATTGGCGATGGCCAATGCCCAATAGCCGATTGATCAAGGAAGGCAGGAAGCTACGGAACTACCTATATACAAAGGCAGCAAGCAGCGCCAAAGGAGAGAAAAAAAATTGGAGCTAAATTAAACATTGATTATTTTTCGTAGATCAACAAAGGGAAGTAGGAGCAACTGGGCAAACGAACCGTACCTGGAACACCTGACGTCGACTCGTCGCTTGCGTAGGAGTCACGTACGTGGCTACGTGAGTTGGGCTGCCGGCCGCCGGCGACGACGCAACGGCCGACGACCGCGCAATGGAGCGGCGATCGGATCACCGCAATGGAGCGACTCTGCGAGAAACAATTGAACCACCAAAATCACCGAACGTCCGATCGATGGAGAGGAGCGGCAGCGGCGTGCGGAACTCAGAAGGCAAACCTCTCGTAGATTTTTCTTGACCGGGTCTCGTAGCTGTTACGATTCGTTGGGCCTTTTTTTTTGGGGCGTGCGTAACTCAGAAGGAAACATGTCGTAGGTTTCTTTTTTTTGACCGGGTCTCATAGGTTCCTGTTACGAGATTTTTTTGAAGACATACCGGTTATGAGATTGGTTGGGCGTTTTTTTTAGAACACGGAGTATACATTCATAGGATTAGACCCCTTGCTAACTATTGTTTTCTATTATTTATTAGCTTTCTATTATTTTTCTAAAATGATTAAAACAGCTTATGAGTATTAATTAAATAAACAAAGTAAAATATTACGCGTGGAAAAAATTCGTGACAACCTGCAACACATGGGAACATATCTAATAGATGATATATATGGGGTTGGTCCCTTGACCTCTAGGGCCCAATGTGGCCGCAGAGCTCAACCCCCCTTAGGACCGGGCCTGACTGGCGTTCTAGGAGACACATCTAGGGAGCCAGCCGAAGGCTGCTGGCTAGGTGTGCCCAATCCAGATGACGATGATCGATCGATGGGGAGAGTCGCATGCATCTCTAACCAACATAACGTTCACATATGTTGTTGGGTCCTAGACAAAGAAAGACCCACCAAATACTTTAGTCTATAGAAACAACAAAAAAACCGTTGCAATAGTAACATGATATTGCATCCATTTAGGCTTGTAGCTGCAATAAGTACCTAACAATTGCAACGCCATAGAAGATTATTGCAACCCCAAAAAAACCATGGCAATAGGAACATGCTACTGCAACCATTTTAGAATTCTTGTTGCAATAACCACCTAGCAATTGCAGCACCACTGAAGACTATTGCAACCCAAAATAACCATCTCAATAGTTACAAGCAAAAGCAACTAAATCCAATATAGTTGCAATAGCACCAAGTAATTGCAACGAAAAATCAATACTAATGCAATTCCAAAGCGCCATGGCAATAACGCCAACTAATCGCAACACAATTCTAAAATGGTTGCAGTAGCAGACTCTTGCAACGATAAATCACACATATTGCAACATATTTAGTCCGTTGCATTATAGGCACATATTACAACCATTTCACGGAAAGGTTGCAATACGACCCTCCTATGGCAACCAAATTAGTAGTGTTGCAATCGTGTGGCGTGGCATTAGGGGAAAATCCTTGTAGTGAATGAATGATCCAAAATAAAGGAAATCATGCTTAATCTTCATAGAGCATCTCCAACAGTTCCCTAAATCCCTTCCTAATCCTTGGTTTTTATGAAGATGAGAAAAACCCCCTCTCTAACAACTCCTAATCCATCCTCCTAATCTTTTAGAACTTGAGAAAAGTCACCCTGTTCTGTGTAAAGTTACGCGCTTCCGAGTCGCGCGTATCTTCTCTCCCGCGCGTGTTTGTCAGCCAATCTAAAATTGGAAGGGCGTGGAAAGGATAAAGAGTAGGAAAGAGTTCCTGATGCAAATGTACAAGAGAAAAAGAATATATAAAAGTGGTTAGGATAATTTAGAAATAGTATAGGATTCCTAATGTAAAATTGGCTTCTATATTTTAGGAGTGGATTATTAAAAACTCTTGGAGATGACCTTCTTTATTCCTTTCAATACTTTTTTAGGAGTTGTAAAACTTCATATTTTTAGGAAGAAGATATTAGGAACTCGGTGTTTATCTTTCCAACTACTGAGTATATTCTCAAACCACTCCTCCACTTTCTTACAATTTTTTTTCTTTATTTCTTATAATGGAAAAAACTAAATAATTGATTGGAAGATTACCCACTCTGCAGCGGAATATATTGGACATCTCCAAAGCAATACAACCCCGCTTTTATGGTTTATTTTGAGACCAAACACCTCCTCGAATGCACACAAAGCAAGAGCTTCATATTATGAGCTTTGGTCAATATGATGTTCATAAAAAGAATGGTGTCATATCCATATTTTTTTTGAACTGTTCGTCTGCATATTATTGAATAGATAAGCCGTCATCAACTAGATGTGGTACTATACCATTGATCCGCCAATCATCTTTCACTCTCTTTATGATGACTCTTAACATATCTGCGACAATATTAAAAAGGAGCATAAAAGGGATCTCCACAATATTATATATCTTTGTCTGTGTTTAAACTGTGAAAACAGAATTCAAATTCAAATAAAATGGCAAAAAAATATTTTTTAAACAGGGCCATCTCCGTTAATCCTTTAACAGAGGCAGGTGCCTTCTAACAACCGCCTTCGTTAAAGCATATTAACATAGGCGGTCTCCTTAAGGCAGCCGTCTACGTTAATATGGTTGATGGAGGCGGCCAAGGCACCCGCCTCCGTAAAGCGCCATTAACGCATACACTTAATCGGAGGCAGATGCCCTGTCCGCCTCCGTCATGCCATTTTGACCGCCTCCTTTAACGTAGGCACTAGTAGTGTTCATCACTCGCTTGAATAAGTACTAGCGACTGATGGCAGTCCGTCAGGCATGCACAACTCAACCTCCTATTTAGGCTTGATCCAGGCCACGCGACACCATCCAAGGTCTTGTTTGGATACACCCGTATTTTGAGTGAATTGAGATGAAACTTATTTTAATTTTCATCTTCATCTCAATGCACTCCAACAGAGGTGGATTGAGATAACGAGTGTATCCGAATAAGCCCTGATGCATGAGTTGATCCATGCTAGCCAGACATGACCCTAGCCCGGTAGTGCGTGAGTTGGGCTGGGCCACCTAGTGTGACTTCCTCGCCGTGGCCCAGTTTCGCGTTCATTGCTTAACTCTGTGATACAGGATTAGGATCATCCTTTTGAGCAATGCTAACACAGCTCGCCATAAAGTTGTCGAAGCAGAGCTCCAACCTCATGCTGCCATAGCCGTCGCGATACTCCCCTGCACGCGCATTGGGCAGGCCCTCCCTCCGTCTTCGACGCCAGGAGACCCTCCTCATCGTGTAGGAGCAACGGTGCTTTGTTACCGATGCCAGGGAGAACAAGGCTGCAGCTGCACGTCAGCTCTTGCGCTCTCGGGACTACGGTCCATGGAGATGTCGCACTCCTGTTAGGCGACATTGTGGCTTGGAATTGTTGTTGATTGGGCTCCGACCTGCCCTGCATGCGCTTCCGGCATCTATAGCAAAACACCAGAAAGTACTGCCGCCTTCACAGCAAGCAAAACTAGAGCGCTGTCCCAAAATGAACTAAGAGACCAGAAAAACCAACCTTCCGCCACCCTTTGGTCATCAAGCAGAGGACAGAGGAGGCCCCTCGTTCTGGACCTTTGGCTTGGCGGTGCGCCGGATGAGGGCAGAGACACAGAGAGACATAACCATAGGGGGACGGTCCCTTGTGCTGCAGCCTGGTAGTCGTTCGTTCCGACGCGAAGCCGCCAAGCCAAGTGCCAACTGCCGAATTAGGCGGGATAGGCACTACCGTGGGCGCGGCAGGCGTCAGCAGGAAGGGGGCCTGAGATTTGGGAAGCAGGGCTCTGGTAGTCGGGTCCCTTAATTCGCACTGTGGGAGGTACCTACAGACATCAAGTAGCGCGTGTAATGTCCAACACAAACACAAGTCTGTGGAAGGCTCACCTGAAATCACAAGTGCACAACAGTGTACACACAAACTAGTACATTTTCCATAAAGACAAGGGAACTCTTTTTTTTTGGAAGACTACATAACATTAGGAGGAAAAGCAGCAGTACTATAAAGGGTACAAAAGAGACATGGCCGGAGAACCAGCTTTGATGTTCTCAACAGTAGTAATTAAGACGATACAACAATCACCAATATTTAACTGCAATTTGGAATTGGTTGGACCTCGAGCGCCTATCATTCTCAGCCTTCGTCTGCTCAAGTACTGTGTCGACAACTAGTGCATGATAGTCACCTAGACAGTCGAGCATAACCTTTTTCATGTTGGTCAAGTGTTCAATGCCAACAATGCTCCTCTCCACCACGTGTCTGGACCTGAAGTCAAAGCGAAGTTCAAGCATCTCAAGCATTTCCATCGATTCTTCCTCAAACCGAATAACTTTGGGTAGATAACCACCAAGTATCAGGTACCTGAGCACCAGAAATTTGTGGCTGCTGCGTGCAACCAGCTCATCACCCCTGTAGTAGTCCCAGTACACGTACAATGTCTTCAGATTGGGCAGCATACACTGGACGCCAAAGAGCTTATCATCAGTAATGGTTGTAATCACAGTAGTAAAACTAACAAGATGTGTGAGTGACCCGATCCAGCTGGGCAATCCATTGGCAATGTCACATATGATCCAAAGGTTTTGGAGGAGTCGTGGTGGCGTTGGTAGGTGATGGAGAAAGTTTAGTATATTGCCACCATCATTACTACTTGCATATCGTCCGATACTGAGCCACCGCAGGGAGTGCATCTTGTTGAGTTGTGATCCAAATTCAGTTATGTACAAGATAAAGGCTAACTTCTAACGGAGCGAAGCTAGCCAGACTGATCCACGCTAGCCAGACTGCTGTTCTTCATCGTTTATATTGCCTATCGTTTCTAACAAGTGGTACCAGAGCTTGGTTTCACATTAGGGTTTCGTGATGGCATCGATGAAGTTTGATCTACCGCTGCTGGATTACAAGACGAGATTTGCGTTGTGGCAAGTCAAGATGCGGACGATTCTGGCACAATCTTCGGATCTTGATGAGGCGCTGGATGGTTTTGGAGGCAAAGGGCAGAAGTCATGGACCGCTGAAGAGAAGCGGAAGGATCGTAAGGCTCTATCTCTGATTCAACTTTATCTACATAATGATATTTTGCAAGAAGTGCTGCAGGAGAAAACTGTCGCAGAACTTTGGCTCAAGTTGGAATCGATCTGCATGTACAAGGATCTAACCAGTAAGATGCACATGAAGATGAAGTTGTTCACGCTCAAGCTGCAAGAAGGTGGTTCGGTGATGAACCACTTATCGATCTTTAAGGAGATCGTTGCCGACCTAGTGTCGATGGAGGTAAAATAAGATGATGAAGATTTAGCTCTTCTACTGTTATGCTCACTGCCTACTTCGTTTGCAAATTTCCGAGATACCATACTATTAAGCCATGATGAACTAACCCTTACGGAAGTATATGAGGCCCTCCAGACGAGGGAGAAGATGAAAGGTATGGTTCAGTCTGACGTGTTGTCCTCCAAGGACGAAGTGTTGTAGGTTAGAGGTAGGCCCGAGCAGAAAACCTACAACAACAACAATAATCGAGACAAGAGCAAGAACGGTAAAGGTCGTTCGAAGTCTAGAGGCAGGGATAAGTTCTACAGGTATTGTAAGAAAGATACTCATGTCATTGATGATTGTTGGAAGCTGCAGAATAAGGAGAAAAGAAATGGTACATATAAACCGAAAAACAAATCCGATGGTGATGGTAAGGCCTCTGTTGTCTCTGTTGTTGATAATTCTGATTCAGAAGACGTTCTTGTTGTTTTTGCTGGTTGTGTTGCTGGTCATGATGAATGGATACTTGATTCTGCATGCTCGTTTCATATATGCTCTAACAGAGATTGGTTCAGTTCTTACGAGTCTGTGCAGAGTGGAGATGTCATGCGTATGGGAGATAACAACCCACGTGAGATTGTGGGCATTGGCTCCGTTCAGATCAAGATGCATGATGGCATGATACGCACACTGAAAGATGTGAGACACATACCAGGGATGGCCAAAAATCTAATCTCCCTCAGCACACTTGATGCCGAGGGGTACAAACACTCCAGTTCAGCTGGAGTGTGTAAGGTATCAAAAGGCTCTCTCATTCATATGATAGGTGATATGAATTCTGCAAAGTTATATGTTCTTAGAGGAAGTATTTTACATGGTTCCGTCACTGTTGCTACTGTTTCTAATGATGAACCAAGTAAGACTAATTTCTGGCATATGCATCTTGGGCATATGAGTGAACTTGGTATGGCATAATTGATCAAGAGAGACCTGCTGGATGGCTGCATTGTGGGTAAGATGAAGTTCTATGAGCACTGTGTTTTTGGTAAGCACAAGAGGGTAAAATTCAATGCATCTATTCATATCACCAAAGGTGCACTTGATTATGTACATGCTGATTTGTGGGGGCCATCTCGTAGGCCCTCTTATGGTGGTGCTCGTTACATGCTTAACATTATTGATGATTACTCTAGAAAAGTGTGGCCTTATTTTCTAAAAAATAAAGATGATACTTTTGCTGCTTTTAAAGAGTGGAAAGTTATGATAGAAAGACAAACTAAAAAGAAAGTAAAATTGCTTCGTACTGACAATGGCGGTGAATTCTGTTCGAATGCTTTTAATGATTACTGCAGGGAAGAAGGCATTGTCAGGCACCACACCATCCGATACACTCCTCAGCAAAATGGTGTGGCTGAGCGCATGAACCGAACCATCATCTCGAGGGCTCGTTGCATGCTGTCTAATGCTCATATGAACAGGCGTTTTTGGGCTGAGGCTGCTAACACCACCTGTTACTTGATCAACCGGTCACCTTCTATCCCACTTAATAAGAAAACTCCCATTGAGGTATGGTCTGGTATGCCTACTGATTATTCACAATTGAGAGTTTTCGGTTGCACTGCTTATGCTCATGTTGATAATGGAAAGCTAGAACCTAGAGCCATTAAGTGTCTGTTTCTTGGTTATGGTTCTGGAGTTAAAGGATATAAGTTATGGAATCCTGAAACTAAAAAGACTTTCATGAGCAGGAGCGTTGTTTTCAATGAATCTGTTATGTTTAATGACAGCTTGTCCACAGATGTTTCTCCAGTTGGTTCTGATGAGGAGCATCAACATGTTAGCGTGCAGGTGGAGCATGTAGATGATCAGGAAACTGAAATTATTGATAACAATGTTCATGATATTGTTCAGCACTCACCTCCTATTTTGCAGCCTCAAAATCAGTCTATTGCAGATCGCAGAATAAAGAGGAATTGTGGACCTCGTCCATGTTTAATTGAGGAATGTGATATGGTTCATTATGCCTTTAGTTGTGCTGAATAGGTGGAGAACATTCATGAGCCGGCTACGTACACTGAAGCTGTTGTTTCTGGTGACCGCGAGAAGTGGATTTCCGCCATGCAAGAGGAGATGCAGTCATTCGAGAAAAATGGCACATGGGATGTTGTGCGCTTGCCTAAACAAAAGAAGGCCGTTCGTTGCAAATGGATCTTCAAGAGAAAGGAGGGTTTATCTCCCAGTGAGCCTCCAAGATTTAAGGCAAGGTTAGTAGCGAAAAGGTTTCAGTCAAATTCCTGGTGTTGATTATAATGATGTGTTCTCTCCAGTTGTAAAGCATAGTTCAATTCGTACATTTTTTGGTATTGTTGCTATGTGAGATCTTGAGCTTGAGCAGTTAGATGTAAAGACTGCGTTTCTACATGGAGAGCTCGAGGAGGAGATATACATGGACCAGCCATAAGGGTTCATAGTACCTGATAAGGAGGATCATGTTTGCAAATTAAAGAGGTCCTTATATGGTTTGAAACAATCTCCTCATCAATGGTATAAAAGGTTTGATTCTTTTATGATGTCACATGGTTTTAAGAGGTCTGAATTTGATAGCTGTGTGTACATTAAATTTGTTGATGGATCACCTATATACTTGTTGTTATATGTTGATAATATGTTGATTGCTGCCAAGAGCAAGAAAGAAATCACTACATGAAAGAAACTGTTGAGTAGTGAGTTTGAGATGAAGGATCTTGATGCTGCTAAGAAAATTCTAGGTATGGAGATTACAAGAGACATAAATTCTAGTTTGTTATTTCTTAGTCAGCAAAGTTACATTAAGAAAGTTCTTCATCGTTTCAACATGCATGATGGAAAGTCTGTTAGTACTCCTATTGCTCCTCATTTTAAATTATCAGCTTTACAATGTGCTAGTATAGATGAGGATTTTGAGTACATGTCAAGAGTTCCATATTCTAGTGCTGTTGGTTCTTTGATGTATGCCATGGTTTACTCTCGTCATGATTTATCCTATGCTATGAGTTTGGTTAGTAAATACATGGCTAATCCTAGTAAAGAACATTGGAAGACTGTTCAGTGGATTTTCAGGTACCTTCGTGGCACAACAAATGCTTGTTTGAAGTTTGGCAAGACTAATAAGGGACTCACTGGCTACGTGGATTCAGATTTTGCTGCTGATTTGGATAAGAGGAGATCTCTCACAGGTTATGTGTTCACTATTGGTGGTTGTGCTGTGAGTTGGAGGGCAACATTGTAGCCCGTTGTTGCCCTGTCTACCACTGAAGCAGAATACATGGCTATTGCTGAAGCATGTAAAGAATCGGTTTGGTTGAAAGGTTTGTTTGCTGAGCTTTGTGGAGATGATTCTTGCATTAATTTGTTTTGTGACAGTCAAAGTGCTATATGTCTCACTAAAGATTAGATGTTCCATGAGAGAACGAAGCACATTGATGTCAAATGCCATTATGTTTGCGATGTTGTCGTGCAAGGTAAGCTGAAGGTATGCAAGATAAGCACACATGATAATCCTGCTGATATGTTGACAAAGCCAGTTCCTATTGCTAAGTTTGAGCTTTGCTCAAGCTTAGTTGGTATAACTGTTTAGCCCAAGAGGCTATTTGGCACCAGAAGTATTTCTTTGTTGTTTCAGGGTGAAGGGTTGATTTATGCTACAAGAAAGAATTTGTCTCAAGGTGGAGTTTGTTGAGTTGTGATCCAAATTCAGCTATGTACAAGATAAAGGCTAACTTTTGATGGAGCGAAGCGAGGCCCGTCGCCGGGAGGCCTAGGCCGAAGCGAATTGATGCATGAGTTTAATCTTCATCTCAATGCACTCCAACAGAGGTGGATTGAGATAACGAGTGTATCCGAACAAGCCCTGATGCATGAGTTGATCCACGCTAGCTAGACACGACCCTAGCCCGGTAGTGCGTGAGTTGGGCTAGGCCACCTAGTGCGACTTCCTCGGCGTGGCCCAGTTTCGCGTTCATTGCTTAACTCTGTGATATAGGATTAGGATCATCCTTTTGAGCAATGCTAACATAGCTCACCATAAAGTCGTCGAAGCAGAGCAGCAACCTCATGTTGTCGTAGCCATTGTGATACTCCCCTGCACACACATTGGGCAGGCCCTCCCTCCGTCTTTGATGCCAGGAGACCCTCCTCATCGTGTAGGAGCAACGGTGCTTTGCTACCGATGCCAGGGAGAACAAGGCTGCAGCTGCACGTCAGCTCCTGCGCTCTCGGGACTACGGTCCATGGAGATATCGCACTCCTGTTAGGCGACTTTGTGGCTTGGAGTTGTTGATTGGGCTCCGACCTGCCCTGCATGCGCTTCCGGCATCGGTAGCAAAACACCAGAAAGTACAGCCGCCTTCACAGCAAGCGAAAGTAGAGCGTTGTCCCAAAATGAACTAAGAGACCAGAAAAACCAACCTTCCGCCATCCTTTGGTCGTCAAGCAGAGGACAGAGGAGGCCCCTCGTTCTGGACCTTTGGCTTGGCGGTGTGCGGGACGAGGGCAGAGACACAGAGAGACATAACCATAGGGGGACGGTCCCTTGCGCTGCAGCCTGGTAGTCATTCGTTCCAACGCGAAGCCGCCAAGCCAAGTGCCAACTGCCGAATTAGGCGGGATAGGCACTACCGTGGGCGCGGCAGGCGTCAGCAGGAAGGGGAACTGAGATTTGGGAAGCAGGGCTCTGGTAGTCGGGTCCCTTAATTCGCACTGAGAGAGGTACCTACAGACATCAAGTAGCGCGTGTAATGTCCAACACTAACACAAGTCTGTGGAAGGCTTACCTAAAATCACAAGTGCACGACAGTGTACACACGAACTAGTACGTTTTCCATAAAGACAAGGGAACTCTTTTTTTTGGGAAGACTACATAACATTAGGAGGAAAAGCAGCAGTACTATAAAGGGTACAAAAGAGACACGGCCAGAGAACCAGCTTTGATGTTCTCAACAGTAGTAATTAAGACGATACAACAATCACCAATATTTAACTGCAATTTGGAATTGGTTGGACCTCGAGCGCCTATCATTCTCAGCCATCATCTGCTCAAGTATTGTGTCGACTAGTGCATGACATTCACCTCGACAGCAGAGCATAACCTTTTTCAGGTTGGTCAAGTGTTCAATGCCAACGATGCTCCTCTCCGCCACGGCTCCGTAATAGTAGCCATAGCGAAGTTCAAGCATCTCAAGCATTGCCAAGGACCCTTCCTCAAACCGGATAACTTTGGGAAGATAACCTCCAAGTATCAGGTCCCTGAGCACCGGAAATTTGTGGCTGCTGCGTGCAGCCAGCTCATGACCGATATACCATTCCCAATCCATGCACAATGTCTTCAGGTTGGGCAGCATACACAGGACGCCAAAGAGCTTATCATCAGTAAGGGTTGTAAACCCAGTAGTAAAACTAACAAGATGTGTGAGTGACCCGATCCAGCTGGGCAATCCATTGGCAAGGTCACCTAAGATTTTAAGGTGTCGAAGGAGTCGTGGTGGTGTTGGTAGGTGATGGAGAAAGTTTAGTTCCTTAATACCATCACTACTTCCATGTTGTCCTATAAAGAGCCATCGGAGGGAGTGCATCTTACTTATGGACAGACCAAGTTCTTTGAGAACCTCCTCATCAATGGCCTTGTTGAAGTTGATGATTATTTCTAACTCTTCTAGTTCCTCAAGTTCACCTACCTCTTAGGCAACTTTAGAGTCATCCCCAAGAGATACCCCACGCAGCACATGTAGAGCCTTCATTTTGTTTATTCCTCGGGGCATAAAAGTCCACATAGGACACCATATGTCCTTGAGTTTCTCCAGCTTTGTGATTGTTTCTGGCAGCTCAATAAGAAGCGTGTAATCTAGATCAAGCATCTCTAAATGCTCTAGATTCCCGATCTGCCTAGGCACCCTGCTTATGTTTGTGGCCCTCAAGCTTAGGAACCTAAGTAGGTACAT